ACCGAATTGAGGATTTTAGTCTGTCACTCTAAAATCTCCAATTCTATGCCTGATAATTTTTATTTCCCTATTTATTTGCACCCAAATTTCAAGGACTTTGACCTCCCTAAATCTTGGATGTAATCTTCACTTTAATTGTAAAACTCAACATATTTTAACAAATCAATTTGACAGATTGAAAAAAGATTAAGATTGAAGTGAAAAGATCATCACAACTTCTCTAACATTCTCATGACACAACCAATTCAAATCACCATTTCACAAAATCTCAAGACAAGGAGAAAGACAGAGAAAACTACTCAGAACTCATGGAGAAGATACGACAAAACTTGAAATTTATACACAAAAGCAAAGTCATACAAACTTCAATAAGTAAATACAACTTATCTCTAATTCCTCCCCAAGTAAACTCCTCGAAGTTCCTCTGAATCTCTTCCTTTCTTTACAAAACAAAGAATTCTCCTTTGAAGCGGCAAAGAGGAAGAAATCTCTCACTTTCCTTCCACTCTTACAATCTCTCGAAGAATTCCTCACAATACTAATCACTCTCTACACTCTAATGGGCACCACAAACAACAAAGACTCCGCGGACACCCTCTTTTTTGGCTTCCAAATGTTTCTTTTAAAGTTGTAGAAGAGTATCCAAGTGTTGCCCAAGCGCCCCTTCAAAAATCGTCCACATTCAATGCATCTGCTGAGAGAACCGACATGCTCGCCGTCGACGGTCTCAATGGCGCGGTCGGCGGCCTTCTAGAATATTTAATTCTGGACTCTCAGGAAAAACTCACCGTCGGCGGTGTCGAGCTCGCCATCGGCGCCCAAGATCAAATCTTTATATTTTGGTCCTTTTTGCTCCAAATTCGCTCCTTTTTGCATCTTTTTGCTCTAATGACCATAATTCAATATACCTGCAACAAAACATCAAAAATACATTTCTTTAAAGTGCAATATCATCAAAATCAGTGTAAAATAGGTATGAAAATCTCAACATATTTTCCTTTGGCCGCTAGCTGTGTTTTTTTATGGATTCTTCTCCCTAATGTTGACACCTCTTTTGAGCCTTATCAATTACTTTGAAAAATCGTTGATATTGTCTCATGCATCCCACATGCGTAGGTGTCACCGACCATAGTGATTCACCCTCTGTCCTATGGCCCGGTTTAGATGTCGAAGGCTTAGGATTTCCAGTGTGATGATTTGAATACATTTGTTCCCTAAATAAATGGATTTCACTAATTATGTAAGCATATTATCGAGAGTTTTCTTGGGCATCCCCTAATATGTAATTAATCAGTGGATTACGTTCCTTCAGTAGCTTCTTTAAACCTCATAATAAGCATTAATACTTGATTCTTTTATTGTGGGTTGTTTTCATACGATCCCCTTTACAGATAAGTCTACAAGATATTTTTGATCTGATCTCATTTCAGACTTATGCTTTTGGGGCTATCTACCTAAAGTTCACTTTATTAAAGTTCTCCACGTTCTTTCTCTTATTTGTTTATTGCCCGTCGTATATCCCTTCTTTCAGTTCCTCTCCTCTTCAGATCATTCATTTTATCCAAGAGGGAGATTTACTTGAATTAGAGAATAAGACCACGTTTTTTAAATAAACAAGTCGACGACTCGTTCAAAAAAAAGAAGGAAAATAAATAAAAGCAATCTTATTGTTTATGATATTGTCCATGCTAACCGCACATTTTAAGGATGTTGAATCTCATTTTGTACCTGAATAACACGCAGGGAATAGAGCATTAGGAAGGAGAGAAAGAGGACTAAGAGAACTCTATTATCATGGAAAGAAACAAGGTTCCACCGAATGGGAATCAGAATCAATTAACATTTAATCTTTCTCATTATTTAGGAGTATTTTCTCGACATAATAAACATAGGTTATCATTATGCATCAACATTTATAGGTATCTAGTTTTTTGTCTGATCACTTTATCATGTAAGCGAAAGTTCCCTGACAATTTTTTTCCCCTAAGCCAGCTATTTCAAATTGATCATAAATCAAGAACTCCAATTCTCATCTCAAAAATCTTTGCTTTGGTATTCATACTTCCTATACTCTTGCTTAGTCATTCGTAGTCAAACATTTGCACTCGTCTGCTAGAGCTCAGTTAATGTATGTCTGAGTTGTCGACGCTTGCCCCACCTCTATCATTCTTGCTATATGATGGATCTTACAATATTTCTTGATTATCATTTAGATAAATTACTTCTCCTATTTGTTTGTATTAGTTGTTTTTGGTTGCACACACATATATATATATATATATATATATATTGTTTTGGCCACTGTGTCAGATTTGTAGGTCATCCACCATGTCCTCCACCATGTCCTCATCCGTTATGTTTTGATTTGTGTCACAAAGATTGTGTCAGATTTGTAGGTCCTCCACGATGTCCTCATCCATTATGTTTTGATTTGTGTCACAAAGATTTGTATTTTAGGGCATGTGTGTAGGTTTTGGACAATATGGTTTCTTTTTAGGAAATTGTGGTATTTGAAATTCGCTTGTATGTTCAATTTTGTGAATGGATGTAATTTGCTAGTTTCAACAATTTTTGAGGCGGTTTGGATCTAATTTGCACAATTTATGTTTGTAGCCCATTATTTTCATCATGTTTGCTTGAGTCAGTTGCAAAGTGGCCGTCTTTGCCGATAGTGGATGTTTGGGCAGCCTCTAATTTGAGCTCAATTGGTGCGCCTTCTCAACCATGGTCTGTCATTTTTGTGAAGCGACTTCTATTGGGCAATTTCTGCATTTTGGACTCATCAAGAAAAATTTTTCTTGTGAATAGCCGATGTTCCTAGTAACTTCAAGCATGTTCGACAAATCATCTCACAATTTGTCCATTCAACCTCTGTCCCTCATTCGCTTGCATTCTATCTCAATTAGAGTGAAATAATTATGGGGGTTAACAATTGAATGTATAATTTGTTGTTATCGCCTCTTCAAGGTTTGATTCATATCCTATTTGTTCAAATTCTATGATCTTAAGATTAATCTTTTTTTTTAATCGATAAATTTGATTAGTTCTCTCAAATTTTATTAAAAAAAGAACAATGATTAGTTAATTCTTACAAAAAAATATGCTTTATATCGACGAAATCATGCTGCAGGATAGGAAAGAATAGGTTCAAAGAGTAGCTAAAACCTGTCCAGAACAAAACATTAGTTGATTTGATTAGGATGACATATGAAGATTAACCAGTGAAGCATAAGCACTATTTGGTATGCTCATAAGTGCCTCATGCCGTCCTTGTTCAGCAATAACGCCATTCTTGACCACAGCAATAACATCAACGCCCTGGATTGTGGATAAGCGATGAGCAATGCTGATCGTTGTCCGTCCCACCATCACACGTTCGAGCGCTTCCTGCACCACACGTTCTGATTCTGCGTCCAATGCGCTGGTTGCTTCATCAAGTAGAAGAATCGTTGGATTCCTGATCATAGCCCTCGCAATTGCAATGCGCTGCTTCTGCCCACCTGAGAGCTGAACGCCTCGCTCTCCAACAGCTGTATCATAGCCCTGAGGAAGCGATGAAATAAAGCGGTGCCCATTTGCTGCATTGGCGGCAGAAATGATCTCATCCTCAGATACATGGCCTTGCTTGCCATAGGCTATGTTGGAACGTATTGTGCCACTGAACAACACAGGCTCTTGGCTCACCAATCCAATTTGCTGCCTAAGCCAGCTAAGATTTAACTTATGTATCTCAACTCCATCAATAAGAATGGTGCCTGAATCAGGATCGTAGAATCGCTCAATGAGAGCGATCACTGTGGATTTTCCGCTGCCACTCTCACCAACTAGTGCAACTGTCTGCAAAATCATTGAAGCAGTTATAAAAAACTAACAGTCCAAACTATATCCATTTAAATGTGTATGCAATGGAAGATGCACAATAATGAGTGACCTATTCGTTATGTGAACATTAGTTCACATTTCTGTTCTCAACTAATAGTCCCACACTTTCTCATACAACAAAGGCGAAGAGAGAATATGAATACTAATCAATTAAAATAAGGATGGTTATATTATACTACGGCAGAACAAGAGTGTTCCAATGATGCATAATGTTACATTATTAGTTTTGGTTCAAGAAACAAGATATTGATAAGATGCAATAGCAGGCCTGATCTATGTCAAGCTTCCAAAGGGTTATTTGGTTTTCTTTATCTGATGTATCAACAAAACATGCATTTCGATTAGTGTGTGCTCAATTTCATTAGTCTTAACTTAGTTTACTAAAAGAGGACTTGTTATTGACACAATAAAGAGAATAAAAATAATCAGAAGTTTTATTCATTGTCATCGGAGTATTGAAATAGAAGAAAGTACGTAGCCAGATAAGTTCCTGAAACTTCTGTAAAATAGAGGAGAAAAATTGAAATTACCTCACTATTTTCAAAACAAAGAGAAAGAAGACCGACACCATACCTTTTCAGAAGGGATTTGCAAACACAGATCGTTGAAGATGGACACTTTTGGACGCGTAGGGTACTTGAAGCTAACATGCTGGAATTCAATCTCCCCCTTAACATCTGCCAACACCAAACCCTCGTCAATACTTGAATCAATCTTGGATCTCCGATTAAGAATTCCAAATATAGAAGCAGCTGAGTCCTTGGCTTTTGTAGCATCAGACCCGTATGTACTTGATTGTGCAACTGCATTAGCTGCCGTGGTCAAAGCAAAAAACACCTGCCATTCAAAGGGTAGAAAGCCTAAAAGTACATTAAATCGTGTGTTACAATGAAATAAATTAGCTAGCAGAATGAGAAGTGAATTAGATCTGAACCCTAAAAACTTCCGTAAATGTTGCTCGTCCATCATGTACAAAACGAGCTCCAACGTAGAAACACAGAGCATAGGTACAATACAGCATGCAGAATGAAAAGCCATAACCAATTCCACTTATTAGCCCCTGCCGAATTCCCTGTGTCACCGGATTTTCACATTTTTTACGGTAAGCATCCATTACTCTCCCCTCTGCACAAAAGGAAGCTACGGTACGGATGCTGGTGACCGCATCACTTGCCACCTGGCTAGCTTCTTCATACAAAATCTACAGAATGAAACAATAATAGAGTTACCAAAAATAAAGTTAATTAGTTCTAGCAAAGCCAGAGATCTGAAGTACAGGGCAACAATTCATTATAGAAGTATAGTTTTTGTTACCTTGGCATCAGCACTAAATCCTTGAAGGAATCTCATCTGAGTGTAACCCTGCAGCCCCACAAGAGGTACGATTGCCAAAATCACAATTGCAAGCTTCCAGTTTGCAACGAAGGCTATAACTATCCCTGCTGTAACATTTGCTATGTTCTGAACTATCAAAGCTAAAGTGTCACCGACAAGACTTTTCACGGAAGATGCATCTGAAGACAGCCGTGCACCTATTGCCCCACTGAAAAAGAAAGGCAAATTTGTTCCTGGTGAAAGCCTCACTAAAAATGAAACACAAGGAACAAATTGTAATTATTATCTAAAAATCGGTACCTAGCATTTGCAGGTTCATCAAACCAGCTGATCTCTTGGTGCACCACCTTCTCAAAAGACAGCGAACGGATGCGTTCTATTAGTTTCCCTCCCGCAACTCCAAATAAGTAGTATTGTACTGGCACCAAAAGAAAAGCAATGAAACCAAATAATAAATAAATCAGTGCCCAAAATCTGGAATCCCTTTGTAGTTGATGTGGTGGTTCATAGAATGACTTGATGGCACTAGAAATCAAAATTCCAAAGACGGGAAATATGGCTCCATGGACAGCTGCAGCAATAGATCCTAGAAGAAGAGCTGGGACCTCTGGCTTGTTGAGGTGAGCAATCCACAAGATAGAAACTTCCTTCCACTCCTTAGTTTTTCCGCGACCTTTCTTCCACTCATCGTGTGGTTCTGGGTTATTTAAATCAGCTTCCACCACACCAGGCAAACCAAAAGATAGCCTAAAAGAAGGCCGACTGCTTCCTCCGCATGAAGAGCTGCGAGAAAATGATCTCGTCTGAGAAAAAGCAATACTTCCTGATCTTTTCAAAGCGACACAGCTTAGCCCTGTTTCAAGTAAGCTATCTAAAGGTGTTGATTTTAATTCCTTGTTTAGTTCCTGCATTCGTACAAGCTGGGAGTAAGACCCATCAATTTTCTCAATCAATTCCCAATGCGAACCTGCAATTTTTTATTACTAAATCATGCTTTCTTCCAATAAAATTTGCTTCACTACTACAATTGTTTCTATCATTGGATAAAGGATGCATACCTTGCTCAACAAGATTTCCATGATGAAGAACTGATATGGTATCAGCATTCCTCACAGTAATCAAGCGATGGGCCACAATTATGGTAGTTCGGTCTAACATGATATTTACAAGAGCATCTTGAACAACTCGCTCAGACTCTGCATCCAATGCGCTGGTTGCCTCATCTAAAAGTAAGATCTTCGGATTCTTCAAAATTGCTCTAGCAATTGCAATTCTCTGCTTTTGCCCACCAGATAGCTGAGTGCCATACTCCCCAACCTTTGTCTCAAGTCCCTATTCAAAAGCGTAGAGTGGTTACAATGCATTTGACAACTTACCAAAAAGAAGTAAATAAAAACGAGAAGAAGCACATGTATACATCAGGTAACTTTTCTATGAATTTTGAAGCATTAGCAAAATCAATTGCTCTCTTAATTTCATCAAGACTGGCACCTTCCTTTCCAAAGGAAATATTTTCCTTAATGGTGGCTGTGAAAAGAACAGGTTCCTGGCTAACAAGTCCAATCTGCTCCCTTATCCACCTTAGTTTGAGCTTCTTAAGATCGACACCATCTATTAATACTTCACCAGCTTGAGGATCATAAAACCTCTCAACCAGACTAACCACTGTTGATTTCCCGCTACCACTTTCACCTACAAGAGCCATAGTTGTACCACTTGGCACACGCAAAGAGAAGCCATTAAATATCAAATGGTCAGGCCTGGCTGGGTAGCTGAAATAAACATCCTTCAGTTCTATGTCGCCCTTGATGTTCTCCAAAACAATGCCATTATTGTCATATGAATCAATCTCTGGTTTTCTTTGGATTGTCTCGAACATCTTGTATGCAGCAGCTTGTCCTGCTGCAAAAGCACTTACACAGGGGGAAGCCTGGCTTAAAGCTCTATCACAACCATATGAAACAAATAAGGAGAATAAGAGACTCATAAATTGCTCATGAGAATGCAAAAAAGGTTTGAATAAAGGATGTTGACTCACATTGCACCTGTCATAACAGCTAGCATTACATTGACGACTTCCCCTCCATTGTAGCCTTTAATAAGGATTAGCTTAGCACCATACCAGACAGCTATGGCATAGCTGCAAAAAGCAAACAATGTAACACATCCAATACCGAATCCCGCAGCAGTTCCTTGGTGAACGACGGATTTGTAAGCATTACTAATCAATTTATTATACATCTCAATGGCCCGTCTCTCTCCTGAGAAAGACGCAATCTTTGTACAAACAATTCAAAATAAGTGTGAAAGACAAGTAATTAAATAAAGAAATATCATAAAATACGTCATAATAAAAATGGGTACAGAGTGAATGCGTGCTTACTGTTCTAATGGACCCCATTGTTTCTTCAACAATAGATGCTGCTTCAGCAGATGCTGATTGTCCACGAGCAGACAATTTTGATATTATTAAAGACATTGTTGCACCAGCCATGACAATGAATGGAATGCTACACATCATGACCAGAGTCAAAAGCCAACCTTTGACAAATGCTATGATAAAGCCCCCAAAGAATGTTGAAACAAGTTGTATAAACTTCCCGACCTTCATAAAAACAATCACCGCTTATGTTTAGAGCAGTATATCAAGGAATAAGAAGTAAAAATGCTTCAATAACTTCTGTTTGATCCACTAACCAGTTAAGGAAAAATAAACTCTAGTCATTTTTATGAATATGGAATGAGAAACATATGCCAAACAAAAAACACGTGATTTTGTTAAAGAAAAAGCACATGATTATTTTTGTGATTTAAGCTACCTGCCAACTGAAAACTGATCTAACACATTTCAAATCAGTGTACGGAAAAAAATTGAAAAGAACATTTGAAGGTGCATAACAATAGGATATATCATACCATTAACGGTGGCTCACCTTCTCACCAATGGCATCTTGAATAAGTATTGTGTCACCGGACAACCTGCCTACTACTTCACCAGTGTTTGTTTCCTTGTCAAAAAAGGCTATATCCTGTCTTAATATGGTATGTAGATACAAACTACGTATACGTGCAGCTTGCCTTTCTCCAGTCACAATCCAACATGACACCTCTGCATAAATGTTTTACAACATGAAGTTAGAATAAAATCCAAGCCAGGTTTAATCTCTAAGATTCTAGAGGACATGTTTCGGAATATTTCATAATAGCATCCACCATTCAAAGAACATTAAAAAACCAATTAGTTTTTTCTTGGGCCAACAGATGCAAACAAAGTTTTCACAAAAACCATTACGATAAAGCATCTATTGTAAAGAGCGCAAGTAACAGGATAAGCACATATAAATAAATAAACACTGGACAATGTAGTTTGTACTATGTTTCCAGGTGATTAAAGATTAGGGCATCATTTAAAAGTATCATAACTCCATATTTTGAATCTTCTTTATAAGAGACAAAAACTAACAATTGAATGCTGTAAAGTAGAATAAGCTTCTTTGGCTCATTGAAGTTTGCATTTTCTTTCGATTTCTGGAGGCGGTAAGTGAGCAGTTCAACAAATAAAAGATACAAATTACACTGAAGTTATTCCATACGTAGAAATGACACGGCGCTAGTTCCAATAGCTAAATATATGAACTGTAAAACAACCTGCAAAAGAAAAGTAAATAAATTAATGGCCAAGTATTATTAAGTATGATGTGCTTAAGAAAATATTTCATCAAGTATGGTGAAGGTTTGTTGTGCGTGCGTGATTGCGAGCGTATGTGCGTGCGACTATGTTTGTGTGTGTGTGTCAAATAAATGATATAATCAAAAAGCCTAGAAGACTCAATTAAAATGATATATTCTAGCTATTACTTATGTTATTTCTAAAAAGAGAGTAGTATTTTTCGGTTTTGGAAATGGAGAAGTAATACATGAAATTCCTTCAATAAATTTTCAAGTCGACTCCTCCCTTGTTGAAATTGTAATGAGAAATAACTGATTATAAGGCAAGGAAAAAAAAAGGATAACCGAACATAATTGAGTAATCTTACTAAAAATCAGCATAATTTTATTCAGAAGTTATAAATTGGTCCATGTTCTTACTGATGTTCTAACATCCTAGCACCAAATATAAATTTCAATTCTTTTCAACTAAGTTTTTAAACCCATTCATAAAAATTTTAATCCAGGATCGATCACTGAATCACATTGGCTAATATGTCATTTTTCTACTGTTTTGATCAATTAAACAAATCTGCCAAACGAATCGTAGGAATAATAATAACATATTTAAAATAGTTTTAGTATTTTATTGATAAAATCATTTTGCAATCAAATAAATAACTAAATTAAAATAATACGTATAGTGAAATATCACCTGCCTAAAATCCAAGATATAAGATAAAATTGATCATATCATTAATCAAATTTCACTAGAAAGTTGTGAACTAATAGACCTAGGATTCTAATTTATTGTTTGCCCAGTTTTTCATCGTACCTTGCTTAGACAGCATCAGCTGAGTCGGCCAACTCCCCAATTCATAATAATAATAGCAAGTCCACAAGGAGTCTTCAAATTTTAATCGAATCAGCAAGGCAAGGCAACTAGTTTCTGCTTTGGCTGATAGAAGCGAAGGTTCAAGCTTATTTTTAAAAATAGCTATTGATTCTAAATAATAAAATAAAAAGAGGCAAAGATATAGGAGTGATAATCTAACAATTTAACCTATTGAAGCAGAATCCAGCAAATAGGGACACATGCCCATGCTAAATCCCTCAATGAATTAAGCCAATTTAGCCGCAGAAGAGTTACGAATATTAAGATCCACAGGAAAAGAAATCATTTATTTAACAGCTCACAAAACACCTATCAAGGGCTATCAAAGAAAGCAGTCTTTAGAGAATGCCCCCCATGTGCAAAGGAATTTCTTAATCTCTACTTACATTTAATTTTCATGACAGAATTCACAAAGGATGTGTCCAGTTCTAAAAAGCAGGTGGCATAGTTTTACTAATTTATTTCAAGGCTTTTTTGAGAACAGCTATTGGGATTATTAATTTTACTGGTTGAAACAGGCCTGAATCAACATTTGCGTGGAGTCATTTATTCGATGAAAATATTCAAAGAGTTTATGTTAGCTGCCAATCCAACGGATCAAATTAGATTTCAGGATAGAGCAGAAAGATTGAATGAATATCTATCCCCACAAAACTGGGAAGAATTTCCAATTCATTAAGTGATTTGAAAACAACCAGCAATAGCAACGAAAGCTAGAAAGAAGCAAGGAAATGGCAGACCTTTGAAACATCACGAACAACATATTCTCGGTTGGCGACGCCAAAGGCATTGCTAAGCTCACCAAAGATGAAGGCCATGAGCGGCATGGAAAGCCCGGACGTTACCGCTGCTAAGAAGCCCACCAGCATCAAAACCACGTCCTTGGAATCCGCGAAGAAGAACAACTTGAAAAATGCCACCTTCTCCTCCTTCCTACCTACCTTGTTCACATCTTCGCCCCCGTCCATCCCACGTTTCTTCGATATCGCCCTTGAAAACACAAACAACCGTATACTTTTAAACGCGAAACAGAAAAACCCAGAGAAGCTATGAAAAGATCGAGAAATGGAGGATTAATGGTGCTAACCTTCTTCGTTCCTTCAAATAAAAATGGTATAGAACACAACCGAGATGATGCGAGAGCTTGAAACGGCGTAGAGTGGATCCCATTTGTAAGGCCAAGATGAGCTGGCATGACAACGAATTGCGAAGCATTGGTAGGCATTTGACAGAAGGATGAATGGTTTCGATCGCCACTTCTCCCGATAATCAGCAGTTTTTCCTGGCTTCGCGGAACAACAAGGATTTTTTCCGTAAAAAAGAAAAAAATATAAAATTTATTCGGGCATGCTCCTCCTGGAAGAATGCACCAACCCTGAATGCTTTCCCAACGTTCGATTCCTTTGCCCTTTGCCAAATATGAACGTTTAATTTCTATGATATAACATCACGTAAACCACCGCATTCCAGTGTAAGTCTCTGCTTCTCGTGTGAAATATCCAAGCTGCTTGCTGACTGAAGATACATTCCTAATAAGTTAATTTATTTTTGTTCTGAATTAAATTTGATTGTATGTTTGACTCAATTTGTATTCGATATAACAATCATTTTTCCCAATGTATCATGTGCCAAATTCTTTTTCAACTACGACCACCTTTCTTCAAAATTTTCATTTTTAAGCATAATTTGATCGGCAAATAAGACGTGCATTGTACATGAGTGCGACCTTGGTATTGGGGTGTTATTGAGGTGATGTTGTAAGTAAATATCATCTCAATATCATATCAATATCACCTCAATATTATTCCAATATGACGAATCATCACCTAATCCGCACATAAACAAGTCCCTATGCAATATTTTCTCCAATTTAACATGCATTCAAAAATATTAAATTTCAATGGTTCCACTTCATAACATATTTATAACATTTTGAAGGTATTTGGCAACACACTTTAAATAGAATTTACTTTTGGATTTAATAGAATTTACTTTTGGATTTAACATAAATCAAGCCAAATATGAAATACAAAGGACATAAATTTGACTCTCCCCTAATCTATTTTATTTCCGTTATGACGTAAATCCCAAATTTATTAAATCAGATTGATTAGTGAGTTTAACTTTTGCAAGGAGAAAGGAAAACAAATTACCCAAACGCAACCCGAATCACACAAGACCTATTCGATGTGATTATTGTCTCAGTGCCCTCAAAAATTTATGCTACAATGCCCTCTAACACAGATTACCTTCGCATCGATTTCACATAGAGGAAGCCAATGATAGTACATACTCTTTTTTTTTTCTTTTTTTAAGTCTGATTCAATGAGCAAAAACAGTTAATCAAATGTTGCTAAGCAATTAAGGGGACATTGGGCATGAAAATAGATTGATAATCTAGCATTATTAATTTAGCTTGTTTGATCGTCGAAAGCAAAATAAACCATTCTTGTGCTCAAATACGGACTTCCAAGTAATCGATCACTTATTTACACCACGATTTTGCCAAGAGTTGTAGGATGTGTCTCTTCTCTGCCAATCTCATATTAAGGCATTGCAGATTTCTGAGAAATGATATAGTTACAGAATTCAATTACCTTGGGTGTTATAAGCCTTTGATTTTTACCAAATTTTAATAGAAGATTTACATACGAACCACTCGATTCGTTTGTACTTACATTAATAGTTGAATTTTAATTTTTAAATACGTCCGCTTACGTATGCACAAAAATTGATAATTATTTTTTATAAAGTTGGATAACATTATATTTTTCATATCATATATAAGTTTTCAGTGTTTGAATTTTAAGGCGTTTAAGGTGTGAGCTATGAAAATACATGGTAAGTATGCGATGTATGTGTACACCTAAAAATAGACTGCATGAATCTTGAGGTAATCTAGCATTCTAGATTTTCCACCGTCTTTCTAAAGGTTTTGGCTTGGCGAGTACCGCAAATTGGATGACCCAACAATCGAAACAAGGAGGCTGGCCATACCTACGCACTGCTCCGTCAATTCCGAGTGGTTGAGATCTCATCCAACAAAAAAAGACAGTGTTACCTCACAACTTACCTTATTTTATGACAAAAATTTATTTAACGTTGTCTCATGTTCAATTGACAATTGGGGAACCTGATTTCGAATGAGCGAACAAGACGTTAATAACAAAAATCTTCCCTCTGAGGTAAGCAAAGAAAAGTCCACAATTGGGGAACCTGATTCCGAATGAGCGAACAAGACGTTAATAACAAAAACCTTCCCTCTGAGGTAAGCAAGGAAAAGTCCACCTGCAGAGGGAGCAACAAAATACTCCCTTCTGAGAGTGAGCAAATGAAAAATTCTAGGATGAGCATGCAACCGACAGTCCAACCTAGCGAATGGGATGGGTTAAGACTATGACTCAAGCTAGATGATATCGCAATAAAAAATTTTCCCAAAATTCGGGTCTCCATTCAAACTAAGAAACCAAATGAACGCAAGCAAATACCTCAACATAACACCAAACAAAAAGTAGACTTATAAAAAAAATTTCAGAGTTGATGAGGTAGCACAAAAGATGTTAGAACGGAGCGCAAAGAGCACTTAAATACGGAGTATCATCTCTGATCATGTAATCGTGTTTTACGCTTTAAAAGTTTTTATTATCTTTATCAGAATTATTGCTATGAAAGAGCAAGAAAATCGGAGAGCTTAATATGTATACCAAAAAATAGTCTACACAAATTCGAATAATCTAACGATATAGATAAAAAGATAGATGATGAAAAACTGGGAAAAATTGGTTATCAATATAAAAGTGCCATACAGATCTTTAACTCCTTTATTAAAGCGAGGAGCATAAAAATACTATAATGACCAGTAACACCTTCATTAAAGTGGGGACCATATAAAGACACCAAAAAATCTGAACCTAATCTATTAAAGGTTGAGCCACAAAAAGATAGTAGTAACCTATAATCACCCCAATAAAGTAAGGGCAAACATGTAATTTTAAACGCAGTCTCTCTATCTCTTATAAATAGATGGATCATAACATGTATGAGGGGTAGGGGGAACCTTTTAGTTTTTTTCTCTAGACCCATTTTCTGTAAATGAATCTCTCTCACTCTCTCACTCTCTCGCACTCTCTCTCTTGTTATTCCTATATTGTATATAAAAAAAGATCAGAGAGCTCGAGGATACTCCAGTTCATCTTTATGGGGCCATTCTATGCATGTTATTTTATTTCTTTTCCCTTGTCTTCTTTTTTTTATCTTTTAAAGTCCCTACTACTCTGATCTTTGGGCATGCCTCATAGGATAAATTTTGGTTCAACATCCTAAAAGATGCTATGAGTGTGGAGCATGCTACCAAAAAGAAGTGAAGCAACATCATTGAGGATGTTGACCTCATTTTTGGTTGAGGTTTAGTTTTTTTCCTCTTTAGTAGCCTAGAGTCTAGCCATAGGACTTTTCATGCTGACTATTCCTAGAAAAATAGACATGGCACCCTCACCATTAGAAATTCTACCCTCTTCTTTACTCAACATGGAGTTCCACATATTGCTCCCAACCTCTATGTACTTAGTAGGTGGGGTCACTGTGGGGGAAACTCAGGATGAGTCACCCCTAGGATTGCTGGACCTTAGCTTGAATGTTGGTCTGGAGCTAAGGCACTCACTACACTCATCTGCACTCACAATCACTCACAACCCTGAGCTCAAATTTCTAACCTAGATCCCTTGATCTTTTGGGATACTCATGTAGATGGTCCCCAGCTATGGTTTAGCTAAGACCAAAATGGGGTTTCCTTTGGTCCATGGCTTATTGGTGATGATTGGTACCTTAACTCTACCAAAATACCCATCTTGGCCTTTTGCCCCTAAACACCCCCAAATCACCAAAATACCTCTCTTGGGCTAAAAATTCCAAAAATTACAAGAAAATCCCAATAAATCCCAAATAATCCCAATTTCATTTCTCTCAACTACCATATAACCCAATTTGGCCAATTTGACCATCTTTAATGAAAATCCCCAAATTGCCCTTTAAAGACTCAAATTTCCCCAAATCCATCTCAAATGTCCACCAATTTGATCTCAATTGACCCAAATTCCAATCCTAAACTCAAACTCACTTTTGATATGACCAAATTAAACCAAATCCAAGCTCAATTGGTCCATGATTTGAGCCCAATTTTGATTTGGGTCAAAACCCCAATTTTGCCCATATGACTTAATCTCACCAAATTGAACCCATAGCCTAGTCAATTGGCCTCAATTAATGTTGAAAATTTTTTATAACATTCCTATACATCAAAATCAACCATCAATTGACATTGGTGAAGCCTCAAATCCATTTGATTTTGGCCTAAATCCAAAA